GGTCCTCAAAGGCACGCAATCCATTCTGCGGGAGCTTGAGTGGCACCATCCGCAGCCTCATCGATTTCGACATTGCGTTCTTGAAATTGGTTTGCGCAATTCTCTCTCTGCTCTGCCCGAGCCTCTTGCTCGCGATTCTGTTTCCTCTGCAAACTCTAATCTCTCTCAATTTCAAATGTCGCGCACTCAATTCTCTCTTAGCCACCGAGTAACCTCTCCGCGCGGTGATGTCTAGAACGTCTCTCAGCTAGAAGGTGGACGCGCGCAGCTTGCACCAGAAATTGAAATCGCAAATTCAAGAATGGTGCGTCCTTTGTCCGCTCGTAGGAAGTCATGGTCGGCTCTCGGTCGTGAAAGTCGAATCACTTGATGGCCGCGCCGGCTCCGCGGTATAACGGCCTTCTCTCTCACGCGCGGCTTCACGCTCCGCCGACGCCGACTTCACTCACACGCTCGAATTGGTAATTTGAACTCCGCCAGCGTACCACGCCGCGGCCATGGTCGCGCAGCGCCGAAGTCGGATTTCACTCACTCATTCGTACTTCAACTTGGCTAGTCCCGCTCCGCCGAAGGCGTTCGTCCGCGCATAGGACAAAAGTCGAACTCCCTTCTGCGTAGGCAGAATCCCCGCGGAGTTTCCGCCGGTGCAGAACTTCATCTGCCTGTGCGTAGGCGCTCGCCTATGCGTAGGCGAATTCCGTTTGCACACAGGACGTTCGTCCGCGCAGGTCCCTCGCCGAAAGCGCAGCGCCGAAGGCAGCTGTGCCGAAGGTGTTGACCGCGGTCAACGGAATCCGTCCAGTCTGTCCATCTCTCTTGCCTCTCCGTCGGCGCTCTTGTCTCCGTATCCCCGAACGGCCGAAGGCCCACTCGTCCGTACGGTCCGTACGGATTTTACTACTCCGTTGGGTCCTCACCCAACCGTGATGCGCTGGCGCCGAAGGCGCCATACAAGTTCCAACCCCGAAGGCGGATTTCTATGGCCGAAGGCGGACTTCCCGCCGACGCCGAAGCGCTTATGCGTAGGCGACATTCTCGGCGGACTCCCCGCCGACGTCAAACCCTATTTCGCCTATGCGTAGGTGAACTTCCCTCGCAAATGCGTAGGCGAAGGTCTTCGTATCTTTCGACCGTCACAACTCCCTGAGTCCTCATCCGTTCCGGGCGTTCTTGGGCTCGTTAGAACCAGTGCGTCAAGTTCTTTCCAACGAAACCCTAACCAAGTCAAGGCGTTTGGGGATTGCTTAGAATCTGAGGGATTTCTCTAGCGCCGAAGGCGGATTATGCGCCTTGCGCCGAAAGGGTACTCCTTCAGAGCCCGTCGTTTAGGGCGGCGTCTGTCCCAGACGTTACGCCCAACTCCTGGATTCTACGAGATTCTACGAGATTCTCCGAGATCATCCAGTTTCACTCTATTTTGATGCACCCATGGCTATTTACACTGCTGCCGCGGTATAGTTTTCCAAAAATGTTTTAAATTCCGCAAAAATACCAAAAGTGGGGTACCACAGGGGTACTGGTTGTAAGAAGACAGGTTGAAAGCGTGTGGAAAGGATGCAGAAGATATAATACAAGAAGAATTGGGTGTGAGAAACCAAACTACATATGCTATGGTTATTTACCTCTAGAGGTTGAAGCTCTATACTTGATCATCACTTACATTAGAAAGTTGAGATCTTTTGATGCTCCTCGTCTTCCTCTTCAAGCTTTGAGTGCCTCACGTGCCAAAGGATGCTTAGCGGATGTGATGAGATGTCTTGATGCTCCTCGCCTTTCTCTTCAAGCTTTGAGTGCCACACGTGCCAAAGGATGGTTAGCGAATGTGATAGCTTAGTCTTTGAGGTGGAATGTGAAGGAACACAATTGAGGATTATAACCTATAGCAATACGTGAATGTCTAAAGGAGGAGTTTCTGAACATTATTTGGAGCAAGTGCGGCATCAAGATGCAATTTTATCAACTTCATGTGAATTCTATGCTTGTTTATTATGAACATGATTAACTACTTACAGGAATCTCTTCGTCCTTACGTCATATTATTGCTAGGCATAGAACTGGATCTCATAGGCTTGGAATTGAAAAAGGAAGTTGGTTTAATATTGATAGGAGTGAACGTATTTGTAGATTATAAGACGGTAGATACATTGAGTATGAAGAGCATGTCTTTGTTACTTGTTCCAGGTACAAAGACATTAGGCTTGCTCATAATGTTGACTATGAAGAGAATGTGTTTCTTACTTGTACTAGCTATATTGAGATTAGAGTGGTTCAAAAAGTTGTTGTTGAGAATTTCTATTCTTTGCTTCAGATTGAGCCTTATGATTTAGATTGTTATATGATGGATGTTATTAGTTTCCGTTCTAGTGCTTTTGTCACTTGCTAGGGCGTTCTTTTGGTTCTCTCCTAGGTTGAAGTTGGATTGTTTGTATTGTGCTTTTCAGCCTTTTGATACTTTGGGTCCCAAAGGCTTAATCTATTTACTATTTAACATAATATACATGTGAAGAATTTCTATTCTTTGTTACAGTTAGATACTTTTGATTTAGGTTGAACCTTTGGGTACACTAGGTTTGATCTTTGAACATTTACCATTTATTACATTTGGTTCCTTTTGATTTACATTATTATATTAGGGACATTATTAATTACCATTTTAGTGTTCTTTGCACTAGCTAGGTATTGGTCTTTGGGTCTTTTTTCCTTGTTTGTGGTTTTTGATTGTATTGTGTTTTTCATACTTTTTACCCTTTGGATCTCAAGGGCTTGATCTATTATCATTTAACATTTAAATATCAAAATAACCTTTTGAAACTATGACTTTTAACATTGAGAAAAATTTAATGCTGCAGAAAATGTTCAAAAATTCTAATTTGTAAAATATTCATTGATAAAAATAAATTTAAAAACAAATATAACTTTTGATTGATGTGAACTATTAATTTATGCCATAAGTGGGCATAATAAAAATTAGAGACACATGCTTCATCACAAAATGTTTTGGTCTTTAGCACATTCAAATCTTATGCATATGTATTCTCAATATGTTATTTTATGTAATCATGATTTGAAAAATACTATCAATATATTGTTTTTGATAATAATTTGCGTCAAAAAATAAACAAAATATATGCTTATATTTGATTTCAAATACATGTTAAAAATTTATTGGTATGCATCAAACATCACAAATATTTAAATTTTTGAAGATTGATAACCTTAATTTATAAAGCTTGATCCTTTTTCATCCAAACTAAATTGTTTGTTTTTGTACAAATTTGAAAATTTTCTTTTCATAATGTTTATAATGAAAAATAAATCAATAAATAATAAATAATGATCATAAATGTTTATGATCAATTTATCTCCATTCTGCCGAGATGAAGCAAATAATACATATGATTGATTTCATATAACATAGTAATCATCAAATATGTCATTATGTTTTTTTGTCTACAATATTTGTAAAACAACGTTTTGTACTTTGCTCCAACAATATTTTTTCAACGATTGTTTTTGCTTCAATACAATAAAGTATATATATTATATATTGATATCATATATTGATAAAATAGAAATTATTGTATGTCTTTTGATCTTGAATTCATCTTCTTGATCTAGATTTGATCTTAGAGTTTTCATTTCACCATTTGTGTGTTTTAAGATCTTACCCATTTCTCTTTTGACATTGCGCTTGTTGATCCAATGGTTTAAGAATTTATACATTGATTTTCAAACATCATCTTTCAACAAAACAATCATTGTAGATGAATATATTTTTAGCACAATGAAGAAATATGTCAAGTTCTTGCATAATAAAACATAATTAATTTCTTAATTATAATAAATTGTATTTCGTACAAAGTTATATGATGTATTAGAAAGTTGACATTGTTTCGTAATTGATACTGTGTACAAGTCCAAAACTTCATAATAGGTCATATAACTTTGAGTTATTTGATATAGGATTCTAGAGAAAGAAACACTATAGAACAGAATGCATGCTTTACAATGTAATATACGTAACAATTTACTTGTCTCATTGCACAACTCTCAATATCTGGCCATAGATTCGCAAGTAGAGTGACCAGAACTAAGTATAGTACTACCCATAAAAATACTCGCGTTTCTCTTTTTCAAGGTGAAGTTGTATCCACCCATCCAGAAAACAGCTGACTATCTTGCCTTAGAGAGAAGAAGAGTCATAACAAAGAGTTGTTTAAATGTATTTCTAGAGCTAACCAACTTTGGACAACTGGTACCAAATTGAATATTGACACCAGTAGAGGTACAATGTATTCTATCAGAACTATACTAGTAGTAGTACATCCGGGTCAAATGCTAACAGCGTTGCTAGTTTTGGTCAATCACTGAACTCTTAGTCATTTTACTACAAGTATGTTCTTGTGAAACGACCTCCTTCACCCATTTTCTACTCTACAATGTGGGATTGCAAATAGAGTACACCAAAGATTAGAAATAAAAAATGAGAAGACTTCCTCAAACCGAGTAAGAATGAAAGCTAACTGGTATCATGGGGCTAGGCCTCAGTAACATCGCCATGGGATTGTAAATAACGTCGAGGGAGAAAAGATGCCTTTCCGAGCTGTGGTGTCTGTGGATTATAAGAGTTCGATTAATATATGCTGCGATCGCATCTACGGCGCGAAGGGCACTCTTTATCGACGGACCTATCCGCCAATAATCGTGTAGAGTGTATGTGCGAGATCAAAGAGGCAAAGTGTCTGGGCCGAAAAGACAGAAAATGGTGCTTGAGTCGGGGGACTCGGAGATGGCCGTGAAAGAGGGTTCCGTCGATTAGAGAAATACTAGTGGCTCGGAAGGAAGGATAACGCCGGAATGAAACACTGACCCTCGGATTCCCATCCTGGCAGGATCGGAGGGCGGTATAAGCGCAAAAGATTGCCAGAACCAATGAGCGGTGGGCCGGAATCATGTAGTCTATCCCCAAGGGGATGGGCTTGGAAGAGTTTCATTGGGGTGGGGCTTGGCTCAGAGTTTCATTTCATCGGGTTGAAATCGGGGCGTTTCTTCGTGGAGCTGCAGTAGTGCGGTAGACAGTGAGTGGTCGAACATTCAGTCCGCAGCCTCTCAAACACAGACCGCAGCAGTGCAGCCATCAGCAGCAGGAGCAATGGCGACCGCCATCGCAGCGACGTCGTTGGCCGCATCTTCCTTCTGTGGATCATGCCGCGAGGTTGGGTCCGTCGAGAGCGTCGCGTATAGCAGGGTATTCGGAGCACCCAGCAATGCCGCCAGGATTGTTTGCCGATCGGCCATAAAGAAGGCCGCATCTGCTGCCAAGGGAGCTGTGAAGAAGGCCGCACCCAGACCCGGAAGTGCGGACCGCCCATTGTGGTTTCCCGGTGCACAGGCTCCCGCGTGGTTGGACGGTACGCTTGTTGGAGATTACGGATTTGATCCTCTTGGTTTGGGCAAGCCCGCAGAGTACTTGCAATATGAATTGGACTCACTTAACCAGAACTTGGCCAAGAATGAGTTTGGTGATGTTATTGGAGTCCGCGTGGACAAGAAGGCAGACTTGAACCCCACACCATTCCAGCCGTACAGTGAGGTATTTGGGCTTCAAAGGTTCAGAGAATGTGAGCTCATCCACGGAAGATGGTGTATGCTCGCCACTCTTGGTGCGCTCTCAGTCGAGGCATTCACTGGCGTTACCTGGCAAGATGCCGGAAAGGTGAGAGATTGATCCTTTTCTTAGCTAAAGCTGCTTGATTATTAGCACCTGTCGGAGTTGTTCCCCTTGGTCTTGTGATAGATCCCACCACGCAAACTGCCTGTATAACTGAACTGTCTGTGGTCCTCGGTTGTGCAGGTTGAACTCATCGAAGGGTCAACTTACTTTGGACTTCCACTGCCCTTCTCCATTTCTGCTTTGGTTTGGATTGAGGTCCTCCTCATCGGATACATTGAGTTCCAGAGGAATGCCGAGCTCGACCCGGAGAGGAGGTTGTACCCAGGAGGGAAGTACTTCGACCCGTTGGGACTCGCCTCAGACCCCGAGAAGAAGGAGATCTTGAAGCTTGCTGAAATCAAGCACGCCCGTCTTGCTATGATTGGTGCCTTGGGATTCGCTGTTCAAGCCGCTGCTACTGGAAAGGGCCCCCTCGACAACTGGGCGACTCACTTGAGCGACCCTCTCCACACGACCATCATCGACACCTTCTCTAAGTGATGTGACATAGATGAAGCTGCGATATGTAATTTCTAGTTGGTTTCCCGAGAGCTGTAACAAATGTAACATGTTGGATCGTTATTTCAAGTCAATGTAGATATTCAACATTTCATCCGCGCACTGGAATGGTAGCTCTTGCTATCATTTCTAGCTTTGTGGCTTGGCCTTGACTTGTATCCCGCCTTAGCACGTATTATTCAACCTCGTTGCAGTCCTTCGTGTGCAGTGTGTCGCACCCTGGAAATAATTTGTCGATTTCTCCAGTTAATGATAAATCTATCTTCCTTTTCGTGAGGGTAGTTTCAGCTATTTATTCTGAAATTTTCAGTCAGAGTTGGATGAATCACGTTTGATTGTATGTGAGTGAAGACGATATTGAATTGAACTTTGTTTGCAACTTAAGTTTGATTGTTGATGAGAATTTATCATATATGTGTGACGCTGAAATTGCATGTCTGATTAAAATCGGAACGGAAATGTCTCTGCCGATAATTGTTGGAAGATTGAAAAGAAAAAGTAAACCGAACAAAAATATGTGAAGAAGAAAAGAAAAAATAAACTTGAATTGAAACAAAAATATATGATGTACACTAATTTTAAAACTATATTACAACTGTGAATAGAAATAAATGAAAGTGGATGAACAATAAAACTAATGAACATTTCATTTTGATATACAATGAAACTTGGATCATTGACATTAGAACGCTTATGAAATATAAGTACCACCAGTAGGGTTGTAAGATCCTGCAATTTTCAGTATTTAACGCTCACTAGATCTTTGATGGCCCGAAAAGTATGATACTTGATTTCCTACAGAACATGCTGTTAGAAACTAGCATCTACTTGTTGATGATTAAAGAGAAGCGTTGTTCACGGAGTATGGAAGTCCATACTCTTATATTGAATCTCAATTAGTACCAGGGTAGCTTGATTGGGATGAAGCAATGCGAAAGGAGATGAAATCACTTCATGACAACCAGACTTGGGAACTCGTGAAGTTGACTAATGAGCTATAGATTGCAAGAGGATCTACACGGTGAAGGATGAATCCATTGATGCAGCTAAGAAAATCTTCAAAGCAAGATTGATGGCCAAGGGCTTTGAACAGCGGAAGGACATCGATTACATTGAGGTTTTTTCACCAGTTGCTAAGTTTTCAACTATATTTATTACTCAACCAAATGGACGTTGTTACATGAGCTTTTTTACTTGGAGCGTTGGACGAAGTGATTTACATCAGACAACCGGAGGAGTTTTTGAAGAGAGAAAACGAAGGTTTGGTTTGTCGGTTGCTTAAATCCTTGTATGGACTTAAGCAAAGTCCCCGACAATGAAACAAACGTTTTGATGAATATATGCATACGTGAGGCTTCATACGAAATGCATGTAACCCTTGTGTGTAAATGAAGTTTTGGCTTGATATTACTCGTGCAATATGTAGATGATATGCTTATTGTCGCTAAAGATAGGTGTGAGATTATTAAACTCAAAGTTTAGCTCAATATCAGTTTAATATGAAAGACTTAGGTCCTGCTAAGCGTATACTAGGCATGGAGATCCACACGGATGAGTCATCAAGCAAACTTTGGTTGACACAGACGCGGTATGCAGAGAAAGTACGTGCTAGATTTAACATGTCAAATGCTAAAGCTGTAAGTACTCCATTAGCTACACACTTTAAGCTTTCGGCAACTTTATGTACAACTAATGCAACTGCTAAAGGATTGATATATTCTATTCCTTATGAAAGTGTAGTTTGCAGCATTATGTATCTTAAGATACGCACTAGACCTGATATAGCATATGCAGTTAGGAAGGTGAGTATGTACATGTCGAATCCCGGACGAGAGCATTGAGAAGCTGTAAAGTGAATTATGAGATATATCAAGGGTTCTCTTGATATTGGATTATTGTTTGATGCACGATCAAACAATGCAAGTTCGCTCTTGAGGTATGTTGATGCTCTTGCAGGTGGATGCATAAGTTGGAGATCTACACTTCAAAATTGCATTTCTCAATCGTTCACAGAAGCTGAATACATTGCAACAACGGAAGCAACAAAGGAGTCAATTTGGTTGAACAAGTTGGCCACTAAGATGGAGCTGCCACACAATGATGTGAATCTTTACTATGACAGCCAGAGCGCACTTCATCTAACATCAAACAATGTGAGAGAAGGGTAAAGCACATTGATATTCGATATCATTATATCAGACAAGCAGTGTCTGTAATGCACTTAAGCTCATCAAAATTGATGGTAAACTCAACCCTGCAGACGCATTGACCAAAGTAATTCCATTGGAAAGTTTTTTCAAGCATTGCGCAAAGTTTACAAATTTTGCATAAGGATAGTTAGTCTAGTAACTATCTTTGTACATGTATTCTCCATCCGGTTTTTTTGCCTACTACAGCTTATTTCTATTTAACTATCGGCCATAGAGAGAAAGCGTGATTTAGTTTTACTTTCTAGAACTTCCTGCAGAGATACATGTGGATTATATTAGTTACAGTAGAACCTGTTTAAATCATTATTGTCTAACTTAATAACCTGTGATAACTAATACATACAGTCCAATTCTAAGTCGGGCTAGTGTATTTATTAATAAACCTCCAAAAGTTAAAAATGAATATTACACAAGCAGTCTCCAAACTTTTTTATATTTATAATCACTGTAGAAAAATAAACAATGGAGAGAAATGATGTGAGTTGCAAGAGGCGGAGACCACAGCTGAGGTGGATGGATACGAAGGACATGTGTCGCGTAACTTTTGACCTAACTGTCCCGACTGGGATTTTTTTTTGCGACAACCTTGCCAAGAACGACCGAACATCGAAGTGCATTTGTTCACGTAGGAGCTCTCTCTTGTCTTCCCTCCCCTTCTACCCCCTTCAAGAAACAATAACTTCAAAATTGCTTCGTGATCTTGACGCGCATGATTTTTTTCCCTCTAGAGTGGAGCTTACGATTTTGACGACAACACTATAACACTATTGAGCTCAACACAATTCAATCTCGAAACATGTCTTGTTGTTACATCAAGACATTAGCTTTCCATTCAGAACCATCGACTCTAGTCAATGTGCAAATAACTGTTCCACCACAAATGATACGAACAGAGAACCTCACTTTATTAATAAACTGTCTAAATTAATACAGATACGTCGGTCCCGGCAGTCCTAACTTAGACAGGTTCTATTGTACCTCTCCAAGACTTGAGTCAAAGAGTAGTTTGTTAGGTTAACTCTATCTTGGTTTAATTCCGGTTAGTGATAATCATGGTTAGGAAGTTAACTACGGTTAAGTTAGGTTAGGTTAGATTACCTTATCTCTTCTTGTATAGAAGAGAGAAGTAGTCTCTCTCTGCGGACAGTTTTGGATAGCACTGAGAGAGTGAATAGTAAGGAGTAGCGCTTGGCTATGGAGGCCGTGTATACATCGAAGCTTTAGTGAAGTTTCTGCTCTTGCCCGTGGACATAGTGTGTGGAAAGTGAACCACGTTATCTTGGTGTTGTGATTGTCGTGCGTGCTGATCGATCTACATGTTTGGGTCTTTTATTTCCGAAGCTAATGAGTTTTAATATGAAAGATTTAAAAATTAATATTAGATATTACATTAAGATTTTTGATTTTTTTTTATTGATTATATAATTTGGAGAAAATATAAGTGATGAGAGGGAGATTTTTTATCTCTTAAGTTTATTCCTTGCATCTTATCGGTAATTATTACATATGTTGCTATGTTGTGATATATATGTGACTCATTTACCAATTATGATAGACATATCATTATTTGTAATAAAATTGTAAATTCTTTAATTATTGATGATTAACAAGAGAAAATGATGATGTTAGTTCCTTCATACTCTTCATATTGAATAGTTTGAATATGAATTAAGTTTGATCATGACTTTGAAATGCAGTGATGATAAACATTTTCAACGTAGAATTCAAACCTATTATTAAATTTTTAATTAGAATTCAATATTGTGTTCAAACAAATATGGCAAGAGTGATCATGTTAAAATTTTTTTATCATGAAATGGCTATAAAAGTTAGATCATGAACATTATGTTTTGTTTGACAATATACTATGTTATCAAGATATGCTATCTCATCAAAGAATGTTGATGATGCATGTATCATTGATAAAATTTATTTTCATCACATTTGTTGCATTATATATTTTTCTTAATTTTTCCAATATCAAATGATTTAATTGACATGAAGATGTTTAAATTGAAAAAATCCTCCATGGTTCTAAGCTCAATGTTGTTTCACAGACGAAGTTGTGGGATTTTTGAGTTTCTAATTAGATTTGAGTTTCTACAAGATTGAGATTAGATAACTCAATCTTGTAAAGAACATATCTTCAATTTGGAAGATCAATTGAAGCTGAAATTTTGTGAAAAAGTAAAATTAAGCAAGATGCATTACAATTGAAGATTTTAGTTTCAACACAAAGTTTCACAAATTGAAGTTTCATAGAAATTAACAAGCAGAAGAGATCATTGAAGTATTGCTAATTCTATCAGATCTCAATTTCTAGTTCTTATACATCCAAAAGATCAAGATATTGGAGTTCAATATCATTGTCTTTGTCGTGGATTTGTTTGATGATTTTATAATTCTTTGACAATTTGTTATTTTGCATCATTATCCAAACCCATGTATTTCACACGCAATTGCAATTGAAGTCAATTATTTTTTCAACTCATAGGGAATATTTATATATATAAGAGCAAAGGTGAAGTTTTTCTCGTTGGAGATTTCAATGTTCGTATATGTTTTGCTTAGTTTATCCAATTTGATGGATTTTTCCTTTTCCTGAAAAATTTGAGGAAAATTTGTGGATACTCTCTTCTGATCTTTTTACAAATTCTTTAAGAGAGCACTTATTAACTTTTTGAGCCACATGTAATTTGAAAGTTTTCAATATAATATCTCTTTCCAAACTTCCACTCCAATACATATTTTCTTCTACCGTCGTAAGCATTATCAATTATCTTCTGTTCTTGGACAATAGTACTTCTATAATTTTATATTTGATATTTTTAAACTTTATCCAAAATCACATCATGCACCTATTTTATTTACTCTCTTGCCATCAACATCAAATTCTCTCTCGACATCCCATTCTATTTTAGCTTCCGTCAAGTTTTGTTTAGATTATAGTTATAATCTAAACATAAAGAATGTTTATATGCTACATCTATAAGTACTTTTGACTCACACTATAAAGAGTTCTAATCCACATACATCAAGTTTGAAATTGCTCAAAAAATTGTTTTGAAGTTCTTTTTGTGACATAGAAAC